AGGAAATGTCCAAAGATCAAAAGAGAGGAGTTCAAGAGTTGCAAACAGTGCTTTACTATCTGTGCTAAAGGAGGATTTCACTTAGTTGTTTTAAGCCCCTCTCTATATTATGGTCCCTACTACCTTACAAAGTTTATATGTACATTATAAAAAGAAGATTCTGTTCAAGATAATAAATACTGCCCAAAGGTAAGCTTTGTGCATGGTAAGCAGCTCTAATATTTTGATAGCCTAGACAAGGCAATCTGACAATGGCTGATTTACACTAGCTATAAAGTGCAAAGCTCAAATGCTAGTGCTTAATAAGCCGGATGATCAAACAAAGGAAAACAACATACCTCTCTATTTCTTGCTGGTAGACCCACCATGGCTGTTGCCTCCTCAGGTAGACTGATGCTGATGACCCATTTGCCATGAGTTTCCCTAGTGATCACTGCCTTCAGCAGCTCATCCATTTTCTTCCTATTTTCCTCCTTTGTTTGAGGCCGCTCTCTCTTAGGAGGTCCTTCTTGAATTTTTTAAAAGCGAATGAGAAATGATAAATAACCACATACTAGTGATCAGATTGAGTGCTGAAATCTGATGCAGAATATAAAACAGCAGTGACAGGAACAGTTGCATTTAGGATGAGCAGGTTCAGTAGGAATAGGAATGAATAAGCTCATGCTTTCAAAAATGCACCAGGTAGCCCCCAGGGAAAAAGTGGAAGATGAGACAATTCTGTCTTAAAAAGTTTTAAAGTGAGCCAGGCAATACAAAAGTCTGGTCCTCCTGCCTGTCTGACAGAGATATCAGGAGCTTTACTAGCTGCGGATGCTACGCAGCTTCTGGCTACTCACCTGCATACCCAGGTGAGCACAGAGAGAAGGACAATCGAGCAAGATTAACAGATACACTCCATAAATTACTGCCCAAAAGAACACTGAAGTCAGGAGTACTGGAAATGGGACTGACAGTCTATTTTCAATTCAGCCTCACTTCCCTGCTGCAGGGAAGAGCCTGGCAGGTTCCCCCGACCTGTTTCCACACAAGCCTGCCTATGTACTAGTTTACCAGTTTTTCCTCAAACTGAAAACTACCCTTTTCTACTTAGTTACATTCTGCCTCTCTCAGAGGTCGGGCCCATAAATTCCTATTTATAAAAAGCTCCTGAGGGGATTATAATGCCCAATAGCCAAGTCTATTTCACTCCTAAGTATTTACCTTAGGGTGTCTTTTGTTGCAATTATTTTTAATACTTAGGTATAATCTTTAATTCCCCTACTTAGATGAAAAACTCCTAGTAAGCAAGAATGTTTAATACTTTTTGTCCCATTCCTAGTACTTAGGAGAGGGTCTAGTATACAGTAAGCATCAGTAAAGCTGGTTGACTGAATGAATTCATTCCATCAAACAGAATGAATGAACGAATAAATGAATGACATCATTTGAGAAATGCCAAAGGGCCAGTTTTTTCACTAGCCTACCACAGTACCCTAAAATTACTGTGACTTATGTTTTAGGCACCGTTTTCAGACAATTCCTGTTAAAGTATAAATACGTTTCCTGGAAGGGAGAACACATCAATTGAGGATTGCAGTAACAAAGAGTGAGGGACTTGAGGGACAGAGGGAAGCGATAAAAGCACGTCTGGGAAAGGCCCAGAGCACTGGTGCAAGATAGAAAATGTTGTGAAGGGCAGAGGATCTTCCTAGGAGAGAAGTGAGAAATCAGGGAAGCAGGGCTCAGAAAGCATTGGCAGAAGACTGAATTTTGTCTTCCCAATTTTGTCTGGGGCTTGCCATAAATTCAGGGAAGGAGGGAGAGAGAAGGAGTGGAAGGTCTGGAACCAGCTTATAAAAGTGAACATGCTAAGAAAACAGAAAACACAGTTCATATTTCAATAACCACCATATGTCAAAAGGTCTAACTTAGTGTGTGTAATAGAATGTTGCCACATTACCTAAGTAAGCAAATCCTCAGAGTTCAGAAATTTTTGCTAATGTTGAAATTATATCACAATATTATATTGAAATTTTATAACACCATTACCATTACTCCTTTAAAAAAAAGAGATGGACAAAAATAGAGTGATCACAACTCCTATTAGGGAAAGCAAGATGCATTTTTAGAAGAAATAAGTGAATAAATCCTTGGAGTTAGGCGAGACTCTGAGCACAGGCTCAATAAGAGAAGATAGTTGCAAAATTATAAATACTAACAAGAGAGGGATTTGTTATTGCTCCAAAGAGAGGGTGGGGAGAACAGAAAGGAAAGAGGAAAAAGAAAAAAAGCCCAGCATGGGGAACAGGCCAACGAGTAAAAACCCCAGGTGGCAAAACAAATGTGGATGGAGGAGCTGGAGGATGAGGTCACAGATGACATCTGAATAAGGGACATAACAAATGATTTCAATGTCCAGGTGAATGGGCCACAGAATCACCTGTGTTTTGTCAATCTGTGTGAGAGTTAAGTTTCTACAATGAGTAACATATTATAATAAATGCTGTCTTCCATCCCTTGAGCTCACTGTTTAGAAAGAATGTTTGAAAACCCCATCAAGTTAAATAGTGAGAGAGGAGGCAACTGAGTTCTTCATTCATCATGGACTCATGTCCATTGAGGCACTGGGAGAAACCCTAATAAGCACAGCAAAAAGGGTGCTCTTCTGATACCCTCAAACCCATGAAATTTCTTGATTTCCGCTTGTAGTAGCTACCCATGAGCTTTTTTTCTCCACCTTTAATATCCTAACCATTTTTAAACAAAAACCACCCAACTTAATTTCCTAAAACAATCTCTAGAACAAAGTACAGCATACAGAGAGCCAGGGATTTGTAGGAAATAAAACACAAAGGAAGCTTGTTTTTAATAACTTCTTTTTCATCATATATTTCTAGCATGACTTGCCATTTGTTAACTGCCACTTTTATTTTCCATCTGCAACAAATGAAAGTAAATTGCAGCATAACTGAAAAACATGGCTGTCTGAGGGAACCATGACCTAGAGGCTATTTGTTTTAACAGACTGAGCACTGTGGCATAGGAAAAAGTATCTGACTCAGAATCAAACAGACAAAGCTTTACTCCTGGTCCAGCTTCTATTAGCTCCATAACCCTGAGAGAGTCATTTATTGTCTCTGGGCCTTACTTTTATCATCTGTAAAATGAGGGGCTGAATCAGACAGACAATCCTTGAGGTACTTTCTTGCTTTAGGATTTTTTTGCTCTAAGGCTTTATAGTAAAAAATTATTACAAGTTAAATATTTTCTAACTGTGGCAGTTTAAAAAAGTTTAGTACTCATTCTGAACATTTAAAAATAGACACCTGAAAATAATTCACATATATGAGACAAAAAGTTCTGAGAAGATCTTTTTTAAAAAAATTGGCACATCATGCTATTATGAAATCCCCATTTAGTGCTTTTATATTTAAACAGTTTAATTGGAATGGAATCTTAAATTCTCCAGATTTTTCTTATACAAGTTTCTTCTAGCATGTAAATCTCATAGGCCACTTAACTTCAACAGCTTAATTTCCACTCACCTATGCCCTTACTCACATTGCTTCAACTTTATAACAGCTCCAGTTTCCCTTCTTTACCCCAAAAATCTTGCCAGCTATTCCTTTTTCAGTAAGCTATCATCCTAATTCCTTATATCAATCACTAGGTCCTCAGATTTTGGACACAAACTATCAGAGAGATTTCTATATTTGCCTTTTTTTTCCATTGAAAATTTCTCCCAGTATACTGTAGGAAAGGGAAATTGCCTAGGTCACCCTCCTCCTTAAAAACCTTCAAATATTCACCTTTATTTACCAAAGAATATTTAAACTTCTTGTCCTGGCATTCAAGGGTTTCCAGAAGTTGATGAACTTGACAACCATATGCTTGATGATCTCCAGCCAATCTGGATGGCTATACTTCATGCCATCACCTCCATCTCCCCAACTCCACCTAGTAACATCCTATTTACTGTCAGACCCCAGATCAAGACCCATCATCTTGATAAAGCCTTTCCTGGTACTCTTTAGAAGCCTCCTTGGCCACAGCAACGCTTCCCTCTCCCACATCCTCAGCAGCAGATGGGAATGTATTACTCAGTTCGCAATACTACTCAACACCTGCACTGTCTCTAGTTCCTGTTTTCCCATACAAACTGGAGTTTTTTGAGGACAAGAAGCCATGCATCAGTCTCCAGGGTCTGATGCTGTCACAGGATTGCACAGCTCCAGGGACTGCCCTACCCTTCTACATAATAATTCCATATACCATCCACTCAATTTTTCAGAATGAATGATAGAATTGACAGTAGAGAAATGATTACACATAAGAACATGAATCCCCCTCCCCCAAATAAACAAATGGTTCCTTCTATAGCTATGATTTTGATTCAAGAATGCAAAGTTAAATTTGGAAATGAGAAAAAGAAATGTATTTAATTTTAAGAAAATAGAATAAAGCAAACTTCATTTGAAAGTAAAATTTTGTGTCATTAACAAGCATAAGAGGAAGCTAATATAAAGATGTCAAAAACCTCTAAATAAGGTGTGGAACAAAAGACAGCATAGTGGGAGGAATCACTCCTGGCAGGTTGGCCTTCCCAGATGGATGTTCCCTGTGTACTTAATTAACATTCTATGTGCAGACAGTGATTTCTATCAATGAGAATTATTGGCAAATAAACCAAACTCCCTCTTTTGAATTGTAAGATGGTCCAAGGTACAATCCTACTACACCAGAAGGCAAGGGAAAAGCCTAATACTTGTTTCCTTTAAAGAAAGAAAATCATGTACATTAGTATATTTTAATCAAATCATTTTGTTTGCTTATAATTTTCAGTGAAAATTTCTAGTTTGAGATGTAACATAGAAAAACTGTGATTACCATATTTTATAAGCGGTTAAGATGATTCCAGTCAACAGCATTTTTAAAGTTTATTTCTGGATTCTTCAGGAGGAAAATGTACTAGATAAACATACTATGTTTATAAATAATAACGGTATAAGTAATGGTACCTGTTTTCTTCTCTAAGATTATTTTCCAAGGCTTGAGTCTCCCGCTGCAACTTCTGGGATCTTGTGTAATCTCTCCAGGCCCGCAGGACCTTCAGTTGAATCTTCCAGTCGGACAGGGTCCCAGCTTTCCCCAGCTTAATCCTCTGATTGAGAATCAGCTTGTGCCAGGCAGAGAAATACCGTTTTTGACACTGCAGTGGAAACATTTGGAATATCACCACCCATCAGCGATAGTGTTTTTAATACCTAATATTGAGAGCCATCTCCTTAGATTTTCCCTTCATGCTTTTTTAACCTAATCTAGAAGTGTTGTCTTGATGGAAGAGAACAAAGCACAATTCCTGTATGCTAACAGTGACAAGAAATATTCAAGTCGTGTAACTGAGGCATTCTCAGCCTCATGACTTAAAATAAAATACTTAATTTTCATTGTAAGGCACCTGTCCTGTGAGGAGCTGGAATAACAATTTCCATCTAAGAAATAAAGTAAAGGGCTTGTTTGAGAAGCTTGAAAGACTTGCTTCTGATATGACTTCCCCTGCCAGGCTGTCTTGAACTTAAAATACCAACCATTTAATTCATTCCTGTTGCTGACACCACTTATGTCCTACACAAGTAAGCATGGGAGAGCCCATGAGGATAGAATAGGGTCTCTGGTACCAGAGATTAAAACAGCTAACAAACACAATAAATTCAGCTCGGCTACTATTGACCATGTTAGGGCATTAGTGAGCCTTGAAAGACTAGATGTTCAGACTACCTGCAATCTTCTACTATATACAATTGACAACAAATTAGACAAAGTCTACTGACCCTAAGGATGTCCCCAGAGTAGTACTTTACTCATAATTCTAGTCTAAGAAAATTGCTGAGACCTAGTCTTTGCCTATATCTTCTATCTTCTCAGCAAATTTTATGCACCTTATAGATCAAATTACTTTCAGCTTTCAGCCTTAACACCGAACATGCTGTTTCACACTTTCCTATCCATGTTCATACTAATTACTCTGTCCTTCTTTTCTGCTCTCTCTCTGCCTGACTACTACTTCAGGAGTCACCTCCCTCAAGAAGCCCTCCTATGACCAACCCCTCTCCCCAAATGTAAGCCCCTATCCACTGTGTTCCCAGAGCAATCTATGCTTTCTGAAGTCAATCCCTCATCATACTAAGCCATACTCACTGTTTTACTGACTTCCATGATGTTGTGAGTTTCCTAAGAGAAGGGAATAGGTCTCACAAATGGGATGGCAAATCTAAGAGTGGCACGGAGTGTGGGAGCACAAAAACAGAAAGTAACCACACAGGAAGTGACTTTGAGAGAAGTATGGGGGATGCCTGACAGCCAGCTTCAAGAACTTGGCAGCTTTATCAGGGTCAGCCCTATTTACTGCTTCCTCCTCTGTAAAAATATTTAACTTTCACCATTTCAACTTTTACTAAGCACCTACCACTGTGTTTGAATTTGAGAACTCTGAACACTATTGTTTAAGATTTAATCTCTACTTTTGAGAGGTTATAGGGAGAGAGAATATATAAATAAAAAGATTAATAACATAAGGAAGAATATGCTAGAATTCATTTAGACAAATGACACAATATTCTTTTTTGTTTGTTTGTTTTTTTGGAGACAGAGTCTCACTTTGTTGCCCAGGCTACAGTGAGTGCCGTGGCGTCAGCCTGGCTCACAGCAACCTCCAACTCCTGTGCTCAAGCGATCCTTCTGCCTCAGCCTCCCAAGTAGCTGGGACTACAGGTATGTGCCACTATCCCTGGCTAATTGTTTCTATATATATTAGTTGGCCAATTAATTTCTTTCTATTTATAGTAGAGACGGGGTCTTGCTCTTGCTCAGGCTGGTTTCGAACTCCTGAGCTCAAAGGATCCGCCCGCCTCAGTTTCCCAGAGAGCTAGGATTACAGGCGTGAGCCACCGCACCCGGCTTACAATATTCTTTATCATAATTTCTCACTAGGAGAAACGACGACAAATTTTAACAAGCCCTTATTCCCTTTCCATTATGTCAAAGGAGGACACATTTTCCAGACCTTTATACTTTGAATCCCTGAAAGGAAGGAAGAATGGAAGAAGGGAAGGAAGGGAGGAAGGAAAGAAGATATACTGACTATTGGATAAGCCTTCAGACATAACAAGGAGAAGACACACAGGGGCCAGGTTGAGGGGGTATGCTTTTTCCATTATTTATCTGCTCCATAAAATATAGCATAGAAAAAAAGGGTGTTAACTTGTGTGACATGGTCAAAATAAAATATCTGGCATCTATTTGCCAGATTCATTTAAGAGATTCTTCTTTAATGCCTTGGTGAAATATTCTATGCGTAGCTATTTCTAATTTTAACTATCTCAGATTATTTCTAATGATGAAACAGTACAAACATAATCCACCTTGACAATAACAATACTATTAATAATGTCCTTGAATTTCTATGGTCCTTTTCTCTGTAAAGTTCAAAGCAATTTACATGTACTATTTTATTAATTTTTAGACCATAACTACAAAATAGACACTGTAGATGTTATTATGATTTATCTTACCAAACTAAAACTTCAAGTAGAGGAAGGTATAATGACTAAATTCACAAAGTAAAGAATCAGTGGTACACCTAAGGATTTAGGCAGCCTGATGACTCTAATATGTTAGGCAAAAAGTCTCTCCTAAAAGGGAAGGACAAATTTTTTGCTCCTTTTATAATGAAAAAAAAAAAAAATCTACATATAACTTACTATGGTAGAAAAGCATTGGTTAGGAACATATCTGAATTTAGGTAGGAAAATTTTGAGTTGAGATGTTGAGAGCAAAATGCCTGGTTTTAAAGGTAAAATACAGTTTTACCACTCAGAAGTTAATAACAGCAAAGTGATAGACTCATACAGCAACTGCTTTCTTGAAATTGACTTGCTATTGGTTTTTTCTTGCCTGTTCAAAAAGCAATCCCAGTAAAATTATTTTTATTTTGATTTTTTTATTGATACATAATGTTTTACATATTTATGGGGTATATATAGGTATTTTGTTACATTTACAGAATATGTAATGATCAAGTCAAGGTATCTGAGGTGTCCATCATTTTGAGTTTTATCATTTCTATGTGTTGGAAACAATTCAAGTTCTCTCTTCTAGCTACTTTGAAATACACTATAGTCACTCTACTCTACATTGTTAACTATAAATTTGAAATGTGCTACAGTCAGTCTACACTGTTAACTATAGTCACTACTCTGTTACTGAACAACAGAATTTATACCTTGTATCTAACTGTATGTTTTTACCTGTTAACCTACATTTCCTCATTCCCTGCTCCCTGCCACCCACCCACCCTTCCCAGCTGCTAATATCTATCATTCAACTCACTACCTTTAGAGATCAACTCTTTTAGCTCCCACATATGAGTAAGAACATGTGATATTTGTCTTTCTGTGCTTGGCTTATTTCATTTAACATAATGACCTCCAGTTCCATCCATGTTGTTGCAAATTATATGATTTCATTCTTTTTTATGGCCAAATAGTATTCCATGCCATATACATATATATACACACACACACACATTTTCTTTATCCATTTGTCTGCTGATGAACACTTAGGTTGATTCCATATCTTTGCAAATAGTGCTGCAATAAACATTAGTGAGGTATCTTTTTGATAGAGTGAGGTATCTTTTTGATATACTAATTTCTTTTCCTTTGAATAAATACCTACCAGTGGAAACAATTGCATTAAAATTTAAATAGAAAAGCAAAGCATGGATCAAGAATAGCTACTTAGTTATTCTTGATTTGTAGCAAACATTATTCAGGTAAACAAGAGTCCCATAAATGTGCTTGGAAGAAAATATTTGGGCAAGGAATATACTTGCAGTCCTATCTTCTCTGGAAGAAGATGCTAGCTCTCTGTTTTTATTTAGAAGGGCAGAGAAGTGGCACATTTCCACAGACATGATCTATTTATTCTCTCTACTCCTCCCGCCCCCTGCTGCTCCCAGGCCTGCTTCTTCTCTTCAGTTCTACATTCCGAAACTACAATAGTGCTCTATCTTTTTGCTCTTTGAATAAGAACTATTATTTAAAACCATAACTGGGTTCGAAGAGGACTACTTTTTCTTTTAAGCCAAGAGAACTAAAGTTTTAACTAGCCAGGTAACTATTCTGACTCGCCTCCATTTCTCTCCCAGTTCATTTATTTTTGTACCATGTTTTTATTCTGGTAGATTTTCAAATATAGCATTCTATTCCTAACTTCTACCATCTCTTTATCATTGTTGTAGTAATAATTTAGGTTTGATATAAGTAAATAAAATACAGAAAATCACTGTGGGAAGAACTGTTCCTAAGCATATACTCCTAATAATTTCTAAAATAAAATACTACAAGGTGAAATTTACAAAGTTTTAAAGTGAAATGGTTTCTTCCCCTCAAAATCTTCCACAAGACATCATTTGGTTGTTAAGGATTCCACTGAAGAGAAGAAATGACAGCTTGCCCTGCTAAATTTATTACCTGCACTGAAGTTGCCCTTGTTCTGTTGGCAAGAAAAGCTCTTCCCTGAAGTGTAATCACACTGCTGTCACCGGGAATGATTGACACTAGGTGGAACAGCAATTTGCTATCTAATCTTCATTGTAATTCTAACCCTGTCACTAGAGATGCTTGTTCTGATTAATGAAGTGGGTAACTCATCAAAATTCCTTAGCTATTTCCCTTTTGTCAGAAAGCTCAGTGATAATTGCATCAAAATTCTCTGTCACAGAAAAATAAACAATGAATTGTAAAGAGGACAAAAATGTCAACAAGTTTACAATCTATTTTTGCTGAATGGAACTAACTGTGGTACAACTAGTGGTCTAGAGGAGTTGGCCAAGGCTTGAATGTCAGGAAGAAAGCTTCATTTCTTTCAGACCAGACACCCACGCCCCAATTAATTTCTTGTTGTTCCTAGGCCAAAAGGAAAAGAAACCCTAAGGCTACAAAAGGAAGCAATAACTCCAACTTTTGTTTTCTTTTTGGGGACCATGATAGCTGGGCAAAATATTCCACGGATTCTATGAAGTGCCTGGGGGCTGGAGAGAGGAAGATCTTTATCATGGCAAAATCAATCTTCAGTAGGAAGGAGAAGCACTGAATTTTGCCATGGAAAAGCAGTATCCTATGACCCATTCTATTCCTGATTTTCTTT